GTGTGTGTGTGTGTGTGTGTGTGTGTGTGTGTGTGTGTGTGTGTGTGTATCTCTGTGACTATGTACACAGAGAAGGGGACCAGAGGCCCTTGAACCATGGTGGCCCTGGTCTCTGTAAATAGCTACACAAAGGAGAACACACTCCTGGAAATACTGAGTCCCCAGAGGGAAGCCACGGAGTGTAAACTGAAGCCAGGCTCACACTCAGAGCCTCTTGGAGATTCATGGTCTCTGGATTCCCAAACTGCACTCTCGCTTGGTGTCTTAGTTAATTTTCTGTTGCTGCTATAAAACCCTGACCAAAAGCTGCTTGGGGAGGAAAGGGCTTGATTTATCTTCCAGCTTGTAGTTCATCATCCAGGGAGGTCCAGGCAGGTACCTGGGGGCAGGTACCTGGAGGCAGGAGCTGATGGAGAGGCCATTAAGGAGAGCTGCTTGCTGGCTGGTTCTCCATGGCCTGCTCAGCCCGCTCTCTTACATGCCCAGGACCATCAGCCCAGGGGTGGCGCCGTGGTGAGTTAGGCCCTCCCACATCGAACAGCAGTCAAGAAAACACATCACCGTCTTGCCCACAGGCCAATCTAGTGGGGGGCAGTTTCTCAAATAATGGTACTCTCTTCTCAAATGACTCTAGCTTGCATCAGGTAGGGTGTGTCTCAGTTTGGTATCTGTAAACAGGGCTCCCTACCCAGTGTGGCCACTGAACTACGTAGGAGTAAAACACTTGGCCCCTGGCATTTTATCTAACACTGACATTTTATCTAACACTGCAGGATAGTGCCCAGTGGGACATATCTACACACAGATGGATTTAGGGCACCCGCCTCCAAGCAGTACCCAGGAAAACCCTAGCAGAGCCACCATGCTAGGAGACCAACATTACTTCTTAACTGTGCTAAAATATACAGGTGGGGCCTGGCATGATGGTTCAGTGGTTAAGAGCATGTCTGCTCTTCCAAAGGACCTGGGTTCAATTCCACGGGATATGACACCCTCACCAGACATACATGCAGGGCAAACACCAGTACACATTAAATAAAAATAAGTAATTTAAAAAAAATCACATACATGAAACTCAGCCACTAAATACTGAGCCTACTCCATCCATCCCAGAGCTTTTTCAGCTTACCTGCTGAAACTTCTTGCCCCTGAAACAGCTGTTTGTCTTCCCTTGCCTTTCCTTGTAGCAGCAAAGTCATGCAGTTTCTGTTCATCTCACCAGCCTCAGCTTTCACTACCCAAAAGGCTCCAGTCCCCAATGTCTAGCGAACAGTAGCCTCTGGGGCAGCAGGGGTTGGTGTGGGGAGAGTCTATTCTCTATAGGCCAAGTCCTTCCTGTCCCCTCACTAACCCATGCAGCATCCCCTGCCCATCTCTGAGACTGTGGCATCTGCTTTTTATCTCCGGGAAACACGTTAGGCTGATGGGATCTGTCTGAAACAAGCCCTGGCCTCCCTCTGGCTGAGCACAGCCTCCTGTCCCCCTCTCTTTCAGTTGGCTCCTGGGGGCCGTAATGCTGGTCTGCGGCCATGCTGCAGGGCAGACTCCAGATCGGGCAGGGAGGCTGCTGAGCTAGAGACTCACCATATGAACCCAGCCTCTGACTGAGCACACCAGATCTTAGACCAGTGTGTGGCCCTCTGGGGTACCAGAGGTAGAAGGGTGTGAAAGTAACACGACTAGGGATCCGAAGGGCAGAGCAGGCCTGGTTCCCATCCTCTCGTGGCAGCTGCTTCCTACCCCGGCCAGCCTTTATGGTTGCCCTGAGCCTCAGAAGTAGGACTTGAGTATCTCTAGTTAAACCTCCCACCTCAAAGATAAACTATGGAGAAGAGAAACCAGTGAGCACATTGTAAACCTGACACACAAATGTGCAGGAACTGTAGAGATAGAACAGGGCCCTCGGCCCTCCCCTCTTCAGGCTAGGCCACCAGATTCCCCCAGGACAGCTGCCATTTGACTCCCGGGGCTGAGGAGCTGGCAGGGGATGCTGGGCCTGAACAGCCGCCATTACCAAGGCACACGCACTGCCTTTTGGTCAAGGCCCAGCAGCTCTGGACCTAGGTTAAATCCCTACTCCAGCTACTTCTCTGATATCTTCTGAGGGGTGGGCAGGGGAAGGAAGTCCCACCCACCAGCCCTGTGTCTTCATTCCTCCTTGCTGTGTTCTGCTGAGGGAACGGTTAACTCTACGTGTGGTAAAGTGCCCCCTCCGATAACTAGGAAGTTCACAGGCTGAGCTCTGACTCCCAAACCTGGGGCTGTGTGGGTGCCCACCTGAACGCTCCTCCAAGCCCGTAAAGCTGGACCTGGAATAAAGGTCTGGGGCCCCTGGGCAAGAGCCACGCCTCACCTGTCTGGAATGTAGGCCAGTGCACCTCTGCTGCCTCTCCAGCTCCCCATGGGCCTCAACACCGAAAGGAGTGTACACAACCCCCAGGTTAGCTGAGGCTCTTAGGGCTCCGCTCCTGAGCTGTACAGTCCTGGGCTGGCAAGACCTGAAATCAGAGTTAGCGAGGGGTGCCCTCTTGTGGAAAGCTCCTCCATGGCAGGCAGCCTGTGACTTCTGGGGACACGGGCAGTCTCAGCTGGCCTCCCAGACTTGGAACAAAGCACTTTCCCAGCCACCACCAGGAATGTAGGGTGAGCATAAAGCCAGTCTTGGGGGTCAGAGACGGAAGACCCAGCAAGGTGTGATATCTGGAAAGTGGGAAGAGGCCTCCCCAAATGCAGAGTGAGGTGTGCCTTCTGGATTCAGCTGTCAAGAAGGTGGACCGTGAAAGGACCTCACAGCCAGAGTGCAGGGGAAGGAAGCTTGCCCCAGCACTGTTTGGTCCTCCCATCTTCAGGGAGATTGGAGGTGTCAGGGCTCTGTGTGTCCGTACTCATTTCACACCCTCTCTGGTCTCTGTTCAGGGCCTGAAGCCGATGGACCACAATGGACTGGCTGATCCTTACGTCAAACTACACCTGCTGCCTGGAGCCAGCAAGGTGAGGGTTTCTGGTCCAGGGATGGTACTGGCGTGGCACTCTGGAACCATGAGCCCATTACCGATCTGCTAAGTGGGCTCCAGGAAGTGCCCAGGTTACCTTTCCTACAAAGCCATTTAGCCTGAGGCTCGTGTTATGCAGGGGAAGAAGACTCTGGGTTCAAATGTGATGGTGTACACCTCTAACAGCAGCGCCCGGGACACAGAGGCAGGCAGATCCCTGGGTTAAGCCCAGGCTTGCCACAGGGCCTGTCAGAGCCCTCAGTGCGTTGATGGGACATTCTGTGGCTTCAGGAAGGGGACCGAAGGGGACGCATTAGCCTGGTTTACTTGACCACAGAACCCCCGTTTCCCATTCCCCTGATGGGTTACCCAGCAGGCAGATAAAAGCACAGAAGCTTTCACCCACAAGGAAGCATGGATTCCAGGCAGAATGAAGACCTGAGTGGGGGCCCCCGAGGTGACCCAGGAAAGAGGTTCGTTTCCACAGCTGGCTTTGGGCACAGTCTCGATAAGAGTCTCCTGAAAGAGTGGGGAGGGGACGCAGGGCAGCAGGCTTTGTTTAGGCCAATGCCTACTAAGTTCCCAATGGGACTGAGCCACACAGCGGCTTCCCACCCCCTGCAGGGCCCGTAGCCATCCCCTCTATCCTGCTGCTGTCACCAGGGCCTGGTCCTCAGCTAGACGGTTGCACGGACTGGACCAGCAGTCAAGACCAGCAGGGCTGCGTCCATCCTGGGGACAGTCGTTCCCTCTCCTTTCCCAGCTGAGCTCCCAGCTAGGCTAGCCCTATCTTTCCTGGCTCCTTTTCTTTGCTGTGACCAGAGGCCCCTTACACGCCTCCAATGAACTTGCTGTTTTTCAGTCAGCTAACTAACAGTGTCAGTTTCGCCTTCTGCCTCAGGTCCCCTCCACTGGGTTAAGTGCCTCCACGAATGGAGGGGTCAGGCTGGCCAGCCTTGAGGCCACACTTTCTCAGGACCAAAATGACAGCACTCTGTCTTCTTCCAGGCAAATAAGCTCAGAACAAAAACCCTTCGGAACACTCTGAACCCCACGTGGAACGAGACCCTCACTTATTATGGGATCACGGATGAGGACATGATCCGAAAGACTCTGAGGTGGGTGAGGGCTCCTGTGCCTACACCCCAGCCAGGGGCACCCTACCACTTGTGAATGCCCATTGACTGTGGAAGCCAATCGCCCCCAGGATCTCCGTGTGTGATGAGGACAAATTCCGCCACAATGAGTTCATCGGGGAGACTCGCGTGCCCCTGAAGAAGCTGAAACCCAACCACACCAAGACCTTCAGCATCTGCCTGGAGAAGCAGCTGCCGGTGAGTGGAGGAAGGCTCAGCACCCCGGCCAAGCTGGAGTTTACTGAGCGTCTACTACCCGCCAATACTATGGTTCAGGCTCAGTTGCAGGGAGATGGAGGGACTCGCTGCCTGTTGATGGCACAGGAATGGGGCTCTTCACGGAGCAGAGAGCACAGTGGAGGGGGCAGGCCTGGAAGGGGACATCACAGAAGTGGCGGAGGATGAGGTCACCTTTCACAGGTGCCGAGCTACCAATTCCAGCAGTGCTAGGGGCTAAGTAAGTCTAAGACCTTGTGTGGACAAGCAAGCGCTTTCCCACTGACCCTCTCCCCAGCCCGATCAAAATTTTACTTTCACAAATTTTAAAAATTTCCTGTGTATGTGAGGTAGTATGTATGTGTGTGTGCTGTGTGCGTGTATGACCCATGTGAGGTACGCGTGTGTGTATGTGTGTATATATGTGTCCGTGTGTAGTCTGTGTGTGTATGTGTTTATGTATGTATGCATGCGTGTGTATGTGTGCATGTGCATGTGTATAGTCTGTCTGTGTTTGTACATGTATGTATTGTGTATGTGTGTGTACATATATATGTGTCCGTGTGTGTGTGTGTGTGTGTGTGTGTGTGTGTGTGGTCTGTGAGTGTGTGGGCAGTGGAAAAGATATGTGAATGTCATCCACATGGAATATCTTCCTCAATTGCTCTCAGCCTCATATTTTGAGACAGGGTTTCCCACTGAACCCAGTGCTCACTAACTAACTAGTCTGGTGGGCCAGGGAGCTGAAGTTCCCCTGTCTCCCTCCCCTCGTGCTAGGGTTACAGATTTGTGTCCCTATGCCTGGCTTTCCCTTGGGGCTGGGATCCAAACTCAAACCAGCCACAGCAGGTACTTGACTGACTGAACCATCCCCCCCACATATGAAACATATGTTTCATATGAAACGGTCTTGCTAAGTTCCCCAGACTGGCCTTGAACTTACTCTATAGCCCAGATTGACAGTGAACTTTTTTGCTTTTGGGGTTGTCTTTTATATTTGAGACAGGGTTTCTCTGTGTAGCCCTGGCTGTCCAGGAACTCACTCTGTAGGCCAGGCTGGCCTTGAACTCAGAGATCTATCTGCTTCTGAGGTAAAAGGCACACACTGCCAATGCCTGGCTGACAGTGAACTCTTGATCCTCCTGTCTCAGCGTCCTCAGTAGCTAAGAGTATAGGCCTGTGCCACAGGGCAGGGCATGGTGATGGTTTAACAGGCCAGAAGGACCAGAAGCAGAAAGAGGAGGGAGGTGAGGGCTGGCGCCAAGAACCAGATAGATGGGGGCTGGTGGAGGCCAGAGGCCTGCTGCCAGGGCAGGTCCAGGTCTGGGCCTGGGTGCATGGAGGGAGTAGGAAGCCATTCACTAAAGGTAACTTGATTGGAACGTGTTGGTCCAGAAATGCTGTGAGATGCCCAGAGGAGACAGCACATAATTCTTTCCTAGACATCGTAACAAATTTGGCCCCCGGTCGCCTTCAGCAGCCAGCCCTCCCAGAGTCCTGGTGTCTGCTGCTTAGGATCACTCTCCTGCTCTCCTGCTCTCCTGCTTGCCTCATCTCTGCCGTGTCTGCTCATAGGGGCATCGCTCCTTGACAGTTTATAGGGGCGGAGGGTCAGGGAGCCCAGTGCGCAGGCCAAGAGAGAAAAGCTAAGCTCTCTAGCTCACAATATTCAGGACGTGGCTCTCTTCCCAAAGCCCAAGCCAAGGGGAGGAAGCTCAGCATTTAACTCCTGTATGCCAGGCCTGGCAGGGTCTGCAGCACCCGGTGGCTGAGACACTGCTCTTGTGCATGGCTTTCTCAGACTGTATCGTCACGTCATACTCTCTCCACTCAGGTGCATGTGTCATGGGTGAAACCTTTGCTGATGTGGTATTAGTCATTTGCCAGAGGTGAACCAAATTCTCCAAATGGCCTACACCTCTCAGGAAGGCACTGCCCGCTCCCACGGTGCTGTGCCCGTGAGTTCTGGCCTCAGATATAACAAGACTCCATGTGCACATGGATGCATAAATGCATATGGGGTGTTCGTCACACATGCATTGTGTGTGTACATGTATGTGGAAGCGTGAGTATGTGTTGCGAATGTTCCAGAGCCATTACTTTGGCATTGCTGAGTACCCCCAGCTTGAATTGGCTCTGTTGCTCACTGGCCAGCTTGGGATACATAGTGACCACAGGGGTGACATTTGGTTTGGTGGTTTTAGAGTGTATACTCTATATTACCTGTTCTAAGTAAATACCTGGCTCAGTGTTTGTCAGATGAAATAGTCCACAGCATGGCAGTGTCGTCTGCCTCTGCGGACATCTCTGCTCACGCAGGGCCTAGAGCCACAAAGCTGCAGTGTTGGTCATGGCTGCCTGAACGTTGGGTTGAGAAGGATGCCAAGGCTGCATCTGAGTTCAGGGTGAATGCTGAGACCGATTAGCTGTGTCTGCTCTGGGCACGGAGTTTGGAGGAGGCCTGGGGGCACAGGCCTCCCTTCACCTCACAGCACTCTCATCTCCAGGAAGGTCTCCACATGGCCACATGGGGACTCAGGTCAGGCCTAAGCAGAGCACAGCTTCGAGCAAAGGCTGAGCCTATGAGAGAGGAGCCTGGCAGATCCTGAAGGGACCCTCAGGGGACATGGGCTTCCCACGGGGCACGTCCAGATGACTTTATGGAGGATGGGAAATGGAGAAGACTCCAGCTGTCGGACATGGAGGGAAGGGATGCGGAGGCCTAGAGTTAAAGTCTCACCCGGAGCTTGGGGGTGGGAAGGCTAGGCATCTTCCCACCAGGCTCCTGGCTTCCTTGGGACTCTAAAGGTAGCAAAGCTCTGTCGTTTAGGGTCTTGTGGATCATGGCAGGAGGAGCCTGCAAACCATCTGGGAGAGGGTGGAGCTGAGAAAGACCTGGAGGAGGGCAGACCTCCTACCTGGGTGTCAGGCTCTGTAGACCAGGCCATCTCTGTCACTGCCACTCCTTCTTTTCTTCTTCTTCTCTTATTTTTATGTTACATGAGTGCTCTGTCTGCATGAGATCTCATTATAGATGGTTGTGAGCCACCGTATGGTTGCTGGGAGTTGAACTCAGGTCCTCTGGAAGAGCAGCCAATGCTCTTAACCTCTGAGCCATCTCTCCAGCCCCAACTGCTACTCACTGCTGAAGGCAAAAGCAGCTTTGGGAGAGATGACCATGGAGGGGCCAGGCTGTGTTCCAGAAAAAATTATACTTAAGGACACAGAAGTTGCCCGTCTGCCTTCCCTTACTCCCCCCTCCCTCCCTCCCTCCCTCCCGCCTTCCTTCCTTCCTTCCTTCCTTCCTTCCTTCCTTCCTTCCTTCCTTCTCTCCTTCCCTCCTTCCTTTTTTCCCTCCCTCCCTCCCTCCCTCCCTTCTTCCTTCCTTCCTTCCTTCCTTCCTTCCTTCCTTCCTTTCTTTCTTCCTTCCTTCCTTCCTTCTCTCCTTCCTTTTTTCTCTCCCTCCCTCCCTTACACACACACTCTCTCTCTTCCTTCTTTCTTTCCTTCCTTTGTTCCTTCTCGCCTTCCTTTTTTCTCCCTCCCTCCTTCCCTCCTTTTCTTCTTCTCTTTCCCTCCTTTTTTTCTGTCCCTTCTTCCCTACTTCCTCCTTCCTTCCTTTTCTCCTTCTCTCTTTCCCTCCTTTCTTTTTTCTCTCTCTCCCTCCCTCCCTCCCTTCCTCCTTCCCTCCCTTCTTCCTTCCTTTTCCAAGCTAGAGACAGACACAAGGACCTGACTTGTGTCCCACCAAGCCATACTCCAGCCTGCTGGGTTCTGTAGACCTTTGTATGTCCAAGCCTAGCTGAGCACAGCAGGTGGACACCAGGGGAGTGGGATTACAGATGGTCTCACCCTCACCGTCTGCTTAGCCGAGAAGGTGGAAGCAGACAAGGACGGCAGCCCCTCTCCTGCAGGTGGACAAGGCGGAAGACAAGTCCCTGGAGGAACGAGGCCGCATCCTCATCTCGCTCAAGTACAGCTCGCAGAGGCAGGGCCTGCTGGTGGGCATCGTGCGCTGTGCACACCTGGCTGCCATGGATGCTAACGGCTACTCAGACCCCTACGTGAAAACGTGAGTGTGCAGCCAGGCCTGTGCCTGACACCCCTGCTCACCTGGAAGAGCCAGGCTCCTACGTGGCTGGAGCTGGAGCCCAGTGTGACGGGCACTGAGGGGTCTTTGTGCACCAGGGTGTTTTCTTCTGTCTTCTTCTGTGACTCTGGGGTTAAGTGCAGCCATCCCATTTCATAGATGGGGAAACTGAAGCCTGCAGAAGGGTCACCACTGGGAGAGAGAATAGCTATCCTTTTTTGGTGATGGGAGGCATGGACAAGGGTACTCCAGGCTGCCTTTGCATAGCCAAGTGCAAGTTACTTGAATTTCAGACCCTGCTGCCTCTGCCTCTGCCTCCTGATCGCTGAAACTGAAAGTGTGAATCATCACACATGGACATGTGATGCTGGAGGACCCTGGGGTCTGGCGATGTAAGGTCTAGTGACCAGGCTCACAAGCAAGTTGGAGGAGGAGGCAGGGCCAGTGCCCGGAGCCAGAGGGCTGGCAAGGACCTCTGCCAAGTCTTCCCTGTGTGTGTGCCCAGCCCTGTGTCTCCCCTCGCTACCAGTGACAGTGCAGCAATGGACAGACACTGGCTCGGGGTTGTACCAGTGGCCTGTGCCCTAAAAGAGTATCCCTGGCTGGGTTAGGCTGCTCGCAGAGTTCCAGGAGGCAGGGAGAAGCGGGCAGCCTTTTGGAGAAGAGGGCAAGGGCTGCAGAGCCACCATCAGGCCACCATCAGTGCTTACCGTGCTCCTGGGAGGAGCCCGGGGAAGAATCCCGCTTGACTCACGGCTCCCTGTAACTTCAGTTCCGGGGGGCTCTGACGCCACCTTCTGGTCTCAGGGGCACATTGCGCACATACATACATGCAGGTGTTCACACACACATAAATAAAAAAAAAATAATCTTTTTTTAAAAAGCTTCCTTCTGAGCATGTGCAGACTTTTCCCTGTCGATATTCCCTAAGCAGCAGGGTAAGGGCCGTGTGTGCAGCCTTTGCAGTAGCTCGGATGACTCAGAACTGCAGCAGGCTGTGGGGGGCTCTGCAGACGCCAGCTCATTTTTATGTAAGGACTTGGGCATCTCCAGATGTGCCCCGGAGCCCATCCTCCACAGGCACTGAGGGCCACTGCATTTCTTCAGCAATGCAGAGCGTCCCCGAGTGGAGTCAGTGGAGACAGGTCAGCGGGGTGTCACCTCCACCTGTCACACGACATCTCTTTTCAGATGAAAATGAGATGTGGAACCAACACGATGTGTTCAGTGCCAGTGGAGGTGGTGAACTCCAGCGTCAGGTCATGTGAGAGGAGGTGACCTGGAACCCAGGGTCTCCCTTGGTGCTGACTTGCAGACAAACTGGCTGGAGCCCTAGAAGGATGCTCTTACTGCTCGGGGCTCCTCCCTGACACTGGGACCATGTTAACATGTTACCGGTCCTCTGAGGAATGGTAGGAAAAGGCTACAGAGGTGAAGTCTCTTCCTTTTCTTTGGGAGGTCAGGGGTTGAAACAGGATTTCACTGTGTACCCGAGGCAGTCCATGAACTTGTAATTTTCCTGCCTCAGCCTCCCAAGAACTGGAACTATAGGCATGTGCCACCAAATCCAACCCTCAGTTGGTTGGATCTGAGGGTCTAGGTCCATGGATACAGCCAACCAGCTGTTTTGCCTTTATCCCAGAAGTTTCTTAGCTCCAGCCATCCTCTCTGGCCTGTCATCTGTCCCAGTAGTGACACCTTCTTCAGATTTCACATCAAGCATCAGATGGCTACTGCCTCGGGTTGAACTTCTCCTGCACTGAATGATTCCACCAAGGTTCACCCGCACAGTATATGCCCTAGAGACACCATCTTTGATATGGCTGCATAGCTTCCAGCATATACATAGAACATGAGTTTGTTGTTAATCAGTTTACCAGCTGAAGGGCATGCAGGTAATTTGAATTCTGGATGATTGTGTGAAAAGGCCATTGACAGGTAATTAGTAAGGAAGGCATGGCGATGGGCTCATAGCATCTTAGTGCTTTGGAGGCAGAGGCAGAGGGATGGAGAGGTGAAGACCAGCCTGAGCTACATTCTAAGTACCAGGAAAGCCAAGCTGTAGAACAAGACCATATCACAAATACAAAAAGAAAACCAGAAGTGTCGATATACACCTTCATTACTCTCCTTGCCACCGCCGTTGGTACAGCCTTATGCTTGTCATTATACCAACGACAGAACCACAGCTTGAAGCTGGGTGCAGTGGTTGCATCTGTAATCCTGCACTTAGGAAGTAGAGGGAGGATCAGGAGCTCAGGGTTATCCTAAACAAACTAGCAGACTGAAAAAAAATGTGTGCATGCGGAAGTCAGAGGACAGCTTGTAAGAGTCCTTTCTCTCTTTCCACTGTGTGTGTTCTGGGAGCACTGAACTCAGGAACTCACACGGGCAGGCTTGGGCAGCAAGTGTGAAGCCCCAGCAACCTGCTGGGCCTCCAGGAAGGACTTTAAACAACAGGACTCAGTTTTTCCAAGGGCAAAGTCTGGCAACAACCACGCAAGAAGCTTCGCCCTGACCAGCATGCCTTTGCACATGTTAAACCTCCAGGAAATTTGTTGTTTACTGTGTTGAGGTCCCAGTGTCACCCACTGAGCGGAAACAAGGCATTTGTCACCGAGCTGTCTGTGCATTGACAGGGTGGAGGTTCGGAGCGCCTCCTGCATCCCCGGCCTGCGAATGACCTCCTAGTCATGAAGAAAGGAGACTGAGCGAGTCATTCCACCTCTCTGAGCCAACAAGGGAAGGGCACGAGCTCCACCATGCCCCTGGTGGAGTCATCCCTGATAACTGGCAAAAGAGAACCTTCCTCAAGGCTCTAACAAAGGAGCGATGCTCGCCCAGCTCAGGGGATATACTGAAAAAGCAAATTTTACATACATTTGAGAAGAATGAGTTTTATGGTGTGTGAATTCTTAGTGAATTTAATGTGTGTGTGCGTAAGCAAGCTCTGAGCTCTTGGGCCTGGAGCTGAGGTCAGTCTGTAGAGCATTTGCCTGGCATGCATGAGTTCAGTCTGTAGAGCATTTGCCTGGCATGCATGAGATCTTGGGTTCAGCGCCAACGGCTGCAATGCTCACCTTGCCTCCCTCTCCCCCCCAAAAAAAAGACAATTCCCGAACAAGAGACAAACTGGCTTTCTGCAGGAGGCACGAGCTTTGTAAAGGCCAGTTTCCAGAGAAAAGAGGGACATGGGTGTGCTTGGACAAGCATACAGCTACCTCAGTGCCGCCCACAGGCTAGCAGGCTGGGGCTCCAGGGTTGGGACAGAGGAGCCCAGGAATTCGTCCCCAGGGAGGTGCCCAGAGCACCCGAGCTGCACCAGCTGCAGCTCACAGCTCTCCCCAGCCCCTGATGGTCCCCAATTACCATTCCAGATACCTGAAGCCGGATGTAGACAAGAAATCCAAGCATAAGACAGCAGTGAAGAAGAAAACGCTAAACCCGGAGTTCAATGAGGTAGGGCTATGGGCTGCCAGGCTTCTGAAGAGCTTTGAGCCTCCCCTGGGACAGGTGGAGGGACCTGGTTTTTAAAGGGGCACCATGGTACCTGGGAAACGATAAACGAGGATGGGCAGCATCTGCCAGAAGAGCCCTCAGCCATGGTTGGTAAGGCTCCATCAGACTGCTCAGCAATGGAGACGCTCATGGGACGAAGGAAGGAACCTTCTAGAAGGTTGATGCTGCTAGAGGTAGGAGTAAAAAGAGAGTGGTGAGCAGCTCCTGAGTTCCCTTCTAGATGACAGAGTTGGGAAGGACACCCTAGGTAGGCCATGAGGGTTCAAGACACCCCAGCAGGTGTGGCAGGATGGCCGTGAATACAGTGAAAGCAATACCATAAACTTACTAAAATACTACGTTTTTTGTTTTTGTTTTTTGCAATTTCTGTTTGTAACTCAATTGCACAGTTCGCAAGTGTGAACGTAGGTGAGAAGGTCATGGCACAGTGCCTAAAAGAAAGACTCAGCTGCTAGGGTGCTGACAGGACAGGACGAGTGGGTGCCCAGGCCCTCAGACCAGAGGGTCAGACACGGACCTGCGGGTCTTCCAGTGAGGAAGGCAGGAGAAAGAGAAGTGCATCTCAGGCCTGACTCAGCCACGGACTCACAGGCAGAGGGGACAGCCCTGGAGGACAGGGGGAAGGATGACGGAGACTCAACAGGACAGTTAACTGCAGCCAGGTCTCCGCAGCATCTGCGGGCAGCTTCAGGGACAGAAGGGTGGGTGGGCAGAGGGAGGGGCCTGCTTAGACTCCCACTCCCATCAGGCAGAAGTGAGCGGGTCAGTGGCGTGACCCACACACTGAGCACTTCCACCCTTCAGTACATCCCAGACCACTCTCAGCCAGGCGGCCTTGACTCTTAACACCCTCTTCTGGCCAGCAGGAGTTCTGTTACGAGATCAAGCACGGAGACCTGGCCAAGAAGACCCTGGAGGTCACTGTCTGGGACTATGACATTGGAAAGTCCAATGATTTCATTGGTAAGGAATACAAGGGGAATGCCATTTAGGTATGCGCCTGTCCTTGGTGGATATGAGTCCAAGAACCGCTTATCTCTAGTGACAGGTCCCCAGACATTCTCCAAACTGTGCTCTTGTGACAGGAGACAGGCCCAGAGAGGGAAGCAGGCCTGGGAAGCACCCGGGGCTACACTCAGAGCCCATGTGACCACAAGTTTCTGATAGGCGTGACGTTGGTGCGCAGTGGGCCATTGTAGCCCTTCCTTCCCTTTTCAGTCCTAATATGTGCCATGGAACCCTGCCCCATGCTGTTCGGTTCCTCGTAGAGGAAGAACATGGCATCAAACACTAGGTCAGGTGGGCAGGGTGTCCTGGAAGCCAGGCACTGTCCACACACAGCTGGGCAGGAGGGTGGGCCCAACAGTGGGGTCACTGAATGCCCTCTGCCCCTCTGGCCTCTTCCACAGGTGGAGTGGTTCTGGGCATCAATGCCAAGGGTGAGCGCCTGAAGCACTGGTTTGACTGCCTGAAGAACAAGGACAAGAGGATTGAGCGTTGGCACACGCTCACAAACGAGCTCCCGGGGGCTGCGCTCAGCGACTGACTGTCCCATCTGCCGCCCACCCAGCCCACACAGGTCCGGCCCTGGGCTTTCTCAGCTGCCATCAAGGGCTATGGCCTCACAATGGGCAAGATCCAGGTTGTCTACTCGGGCAAAGCCACTGCAGCCCCTGCTTGGAGGACCCGGAGCACCCAGGCCCCCTCAGAAGACATGGATTAAATTTGTTTCAGGCCCCCTGGTGGCCAGGAGGGCTGGAGCTGGGCCCTCAGCTCCACCCGGAGGAAGGGCTATCCAGGGTGAGGACCTGTTGGAGATGAGGGATGGAACACTTGCTGCAAGCACAGAAATGGGGGTCTTTGGCTGCCTGGCAACCACAGGGGAAGGACTATGTGTGGGAAGGCAGAGCCCAGGACTCCAGGACGGACAATGTGGCCAACCAGAGCTTCCAACTTGCTCATGCCTGGCACTGATGGGCAGACAGAAAGAGGTGAGGCCCCAGGGCAGGGGTCCCTGTGTAGCAGAGGATCTGGGTGTACACATTGGGTGTACCAGGACCAGCTGGTTGTCTGCAAGGGCTGTGGGTGCTGCTGCCTGCTGAAGGGTGGAGGAGGGAAGGCAGCCTGGGGGATCACGGCTCAGCACAGCCTGGAAAAGCCAGCTGTGGCTAAGACAGAACCAAATACAGACACAGGAGGACTGAAAGGGGGTCTGGAGGTCAGGGCCAGGGAACCATGAGGGCCTGCATTAGGTTTTTAGGCAGGAGCTGGGCTTGGGGATGTGTGCAAACATTGTAGGGAAACCCAGCTCGACTGTGGAAACCCAAGCTCTCCTGTTTGATCTTGCTCCCAAGGAGCAACGCGTACTGTTCCCGTTGTCAGCTTAAATCTCTAGTCAGCTTTAGGGAAAAGAGAAAGAGATCCTGATCCTACTAGCATGGAAAGAGGAAAGCATTTCTCCCGCCTGTCCATCTCTCCCTTCTTCATCCCCTCAGGCTAGTGTTCAATCCCTCACAGATACCCATGGCCCCCTGGCCCTATCAAGACAGTGGCTTGCCTTCAGGAAGAGCAGTGGAAGACAGAGCCTTGTCTCGGGGAAGGCCCGGGGGTGGAGGTGAGGGTCTGCCTTCTGGGCCTGGTCTCACTTTCTAGGAAAGGGTGGGACACATCTCAGTCTTGAAGGCCCCAAATGTCTCCTGCCAGCTGAGGCTCTAGGATCACAGGAGGAATGGAGAACTATGGATTTCCACCTTATCTCAGACCTGTTCTGTTCAATCCATCACTAGGTGACAAGGCACAGGGGTCCTGAGAGGGAAGGTGCCCTAAGCCCAGCACCTCCTACAGCTAAAGTCAGGCCCCAGGGACCCAGAGATTGAGATTGAGTCACCCAATCTCACCAGCCCTTCCTAGTTGGCAGGGAATAGGTCTGTGGCCCTGCACAGCACCCAGCCACCTGTTGCCTGTAGAGACTGGATTCTCCTCTTGAAAAGGCTTTGCCTATGTTGTTGAGGTGGCACGTTCTTACAGAATCTTCACCATCCTGTGTGGTGGATGGCTTGGTCAACCCATTTTGCAAATGAAATGGTCACAGAGAAGTTGATAAACTTCCAGGGCCACCAAGCTGGGAGGGCCTGAAGCAAGATTTAACCCCAAGCAAGGCCTTTGTCTGAGGACGAAAGATGGAGGACTTCCCCTGTCTTTCCTTCTGGACTGACTGGGGCTTGGTGAAGTCAGTTACAGAGGAATCTTGCTACTGTCCGCCACCTCACCCCCTAGCTGGCTTTGATATCATTTAAGGTTTGCCAAAAGGCCACAGCCAAGCCCAGAACCTCAGCTGCCCTACCCCGAGGTAAAGTGACTTGGGGGACAGGCTGATATTTTCCTCACACAGTTAGAAACGCTAGCAGGTGTTTCAAGGCACCTGATTGAGCTCTGAGTAACTTCTTTGCCCTTTGAGGTGGCTTGTTCAGGGAGGAGCCGGGCTGCCCTCCTGAAGAGAAAGACGTGTTTATTAGACGCGAGATGACTGAGGCTTAAGCAGAAGAGCAGAGCTCAGGTGGGATGGGAAGCCTGCATCCCTCTGTTGCCCTAGGCAGAAAGTGGCTTGGGTCTCGATGGTCCTCGCCAACCCCAGGGACAGGGAGGGTGGGAGGCAAGATTTCTAGCCAGTTGGCTCGCGTGTAAGGTGAGTGCCCAGGCAGGAGCGCACTAAAAAGTGATGGAACTTTCCCGGGACCCGGGAGCGTTTGTAAATCCCCAGCACATTACAACTCTGCTACGGGAAATGCCCTTTGCGAAGTTACAGAATCAGCTCCGCCTTTCACCCCAAACGGGTGTCCATCAACGATGCAAAGAGGAAATCTGATACCAAAAACAAAGGTCATTCCAAAGTCCTGGCAGTACCCCGGGTGTCTCCAGGCGGCCCCTCAGCCACCTCGCGCCCTGGTCTCCGCCCCGCCCACTGCCACCGTTAGCCAATCCCCGAGAGGGCCCGTCTTCCAATCCTGAGGCGGCGACCTCCTGATCTCTAGTGGCAAGAGCGAGGAGCTGCACTTCCGCGGCCCGCCCGCCGCCGAGCCCGGGCTAAGCATGTCCTGCCCCTTCATCCTGGTCCCGCCACGTGAACCTGATGCATGGACTCCTGCTGTCGCCGACTCGCGCGGACTCGTACACTGCTTACGGTTTTGCCACCACGTGACGGCTGCGGACTATGTCCTCAAACTGCAGCGTCAAGACACAATTTTTGTAATTTCGTCCGACCTTCCCGAAGGTGTCCTTTTAAAGTCTTCTTTGTTAATATTTATAACGATATATAACTCAAAGTAAATGGGAACATCGCACCGAGTTCGCAGGCGCTTGGGAGACTCCTTTGGAAAATCAGGAGGGTGCGAGCGAAAGGGAACCGGGGCTTACGTGTCGCATTTACCCTTGTTTTTTTTAAATGATCGCACTTGTAAACCAGTCTAGCGTCCAACTGTGGTAAGCCTCCTGCCTTTCATCTACTCACCAAGAGCCCATTTGAAACAGGCTTGCAAGTTACATATGAGGAAACTGAGGCTCAGAAGGTTGAATATGTGAGGCTGATCAGAAACATTTGCCACAAGCCTCAAGGACCTGAGTGTGATCCCTGGAACACCTCCCCCCCCCCCCCCCAAAAAAAAAAATGTCTGGTGTGGCCCGCACTCAGGAAGCAGAGGCAGATGGAGCTCTCTGAGTTCAATGTCAGCCTGGTCTACACGCCCAGTTCCAGGACACACTGGCTACATAGTAAGGGGCATGTCCCAAAATCAAGAGGCAGGGGCAGGCAGACCTCTGTGAATCCGGGGCCAGCCTGCGTTACAGAGCTAGTTCCAGGACAGCCAAGGCTACACAGACCTTGTCTTGAAAAACAAAACAAAACAAAAAATCAGGATATGAAGGGCAGTGATGGCCAAGGCCTTTAATCCCAGCACTGAAGAGGCAGAGGCACACAGATGTCTGTGATTTCCAGGCCAGCCTGGCCTAAAGAGTTAGTTCCAGGATAGTCAAGGTTACACAAACTGTCTCAAAATACAGAAATGAAAAGATCAGGAAATGATGTGACAAATTAATAATCCCAGCAACTCCTGGGGCCATATAGGAAGTGGAGACAGGAACTGCCCAGAGCCTTCCTGCCAAGTGACCTGGAATAAACAATTGAGAAACAAGCGGCATCAAGGTGTAAGGTGCGAAGTTACCCTCTGACCTCTACACACCTGAGCCGGCTTGCATGCTTAATTGCTCAACCTCCTTCCCTCTCTATCTTTCCCTTCTCCTCCCTCTCCCTCACTTATATATACACAATTTTTTAAAATAATAAACAAGAAGTTAAAATGTTTGTGCAAATCACACAGGTTTCTCGAGATGCTGCAGTGTGAATCATTACTGTCCACAAGGCTGATTAGCGCTAATGCTAGGAACTGGGAAGATCACGTGACCTCCACAGATGCCTTGCCGTTAGAGGGCCCTGGGGATGGAATCCTTTAGGTCATGCTCCAGGTGGAAGGGACAGGCATGACCTCACGGAACAGGGGCAGGGCTGCTATGGCTGGGGAACCAAGGAATGAGGGCAGAGTACCACAGGGGAGGCTGTGTACTTCACAGACGCTGGCCAGGGACAGCTTCATGTCTGCAGTGGAATTTGGCTAAAGACCTGCCAATCGGATCTTACCCAAAGAACCAGGCTTCACTAACCATTTTCTTTTCCATACCTTAGACCCCGACCCCTCATCCCCCGCTGATTTGCCTCAAGTGCTTGTAGACCCAACTTCCCAAGAACTTCCCTGTGCAATGCTTTCACTGTGCCCCATGGGTTTTAGCATGCTGGGGTTTTGTGGTTTTCTTTCAATTTAGCAATCTTTCAATTTTCTTCAGTGACTCATCATTTAAGTCAGTTTGTGTAGTATATGCTACTGTCTTTGTTGATTTCTAGCTTTATTCTCCCACACAGGTAGGTATAGAATACAAAACAATTCATATTATGGTAGGAGGTTGCTCAGATGATGAAGAGCTAGCTTTGCAGAACCCATTTTCAAAAAGCACCCCCCAAATAGTCTCTTACAGGAGGGGGAGCTGGAGATAGTTTTGGGGTTGAGAGCACTGGCTGCTGCTCCATAGGATTCCGGTTTGTGTCCCACCTGGCAGCTCACATGTCTGCAGCTTCAGTTCCAAGTGACGTCCTCTTCAGGCACTGAATGCATGTGGCATATAGACATACATACATGCAGGCAAAACACCCATACCCACACTTTTTTTTTTTTTAAAGAATAGCACTGCTGGGCAGTGGAATAAACCTTTAATCCCAAGGAGGCAGAAGTTCAAGTTCAGCCTGATCTACATATTAAGTTCCAGACCAGTTAAAGCTACGTAACAAGACCCTGACTAAAAACAAAATGACAAAACTAAGCTCCAAAACTGAGAGCCTAGTGGTTAAGAGCACCGGCTGCTCCTCCAGATGGCTGCATTCCCAGCACCCAGCTGGAGGCTCACAACAGCCTGTCACCCCAGTTCCAGGAATCCAAGAGCTTCTGCTCTGTGGGCACTACACAAAGGGTGCAGACAAAACAGCAGTGCTATTAAATACTTCAGATGTAGCTGCATCTCTTACTGAACCCAAATTCCACAGAATACTATTAAATCAAGTGCTCACACATTAAGTGGACTTGACCTCTGCAGCCTAGTCCTAGACATTGGAACGGTCCCTGCAGGGTGAAGGCCCCTTCACAGCCTTCCCTGCTTTCTAAAAACCCAAACCTGCCTCCTCCTGACTTACCTCTTGGAGTAAAGGCTGGTCTTGGCTTCTGATACTTCAACTTCCTCAAGTGCTGGGCAGGTTTGTTTGTTTTGATTATCAAATTTTCCTGGGAGTGCCACCCCGCAGGATGGCGCACACCTGCAATCCTGGCACTCAGGAGGCAGAGACAGAAGCAGGAGGATCTCTTTAGAGTTCCGGGCCAGCCTGGTCTACAGGGTGAGTCCAGGACAGCCAATGCTACACAGAGAAACCCTGTGTCAAAAAACCAAAGTTGTTTGGAAATGCTCATGGAAGGGCTGGAGAGAGGCAGCAGTGTGTCGTCAGGACAGGGCTCCTCGGTCTTGCTCCTACGGACCTGATTTCTGCAACCACACGGCAGCTCTTCAGGCCTGGGTGAGGAGCAGGCACATAACTGCCGCACACACACAGGCAGGAGAAACACCCACATGCACACAATTCTTTGAAACACTTGGCCAGTCCTGGTGGTGCACACCTCTAATCCCAGCACTTGAGACTGAGGCTGACAGATCTGGGCTACAGAGTGGGTTCCATCTGCAGGCGGGACCACAGGTGAAAACCCTGTCTGGCAGGGAGCAGGACCAAGGCTCATGCCTCACGCCGGCGACATGAAAGTCTGCACACTCTAGATAAGGCAACTTGCCTCGACGATGGCATCTGTCCGGCCAGGCTTGGGGTGAGGCTCCATTGTACAGTGCTGCCCAGCAAGCACAGCCCGGGTTCGTTCTCAGCACCGCCTACACCAGGGTGGCGGCACACACCCGTCCTCCCGGCACACTGCGATGGAGGTGGGAGGTCCAAGTCACCCTTGGCTCAATTCCCACACCAGCCTGAGGAACATGAGACCCAAACTCACAACAAAACAGAATTAGACATTACTTCATGCTGACATACTGCTTAAGAGGACTACCTCAGTATCAGGTTCTTGGGGCTAGGGGAGGATGTCCTGTTTTTAAATTCTGTTTTTGCTTTTGTGAGACAGGGTTTCTCTGTGTAGCCCTGTCCTGGAACTCATTCAATAGACCAGGCTAGCCTCAAAATCGAAGATTCACCTTCCTCCACCTTCTGCCCCTGCTGGGATTAGGGACCACCACCACACCCAACTTGGGTTTGTTTTCAAGGTTTACTATTTTCAAAAACTCCTGAAGGCATATACCCCATGTTTGCTGGTGCTTGTGGAGCCAAGCATGAGATCCGCTGGAACTGGAGTTACAGGCAACGGTAAGTGACCTGATAGGATTCCTGGGACCTGAACTGCAGTACGTGCTCTGAACCACTGGGCCATTTTCCTAGCCCTGTCTCCATTGTTTAACTGGATCAAGTTCAGCAAAATAGGTAGACATTAGCTTTTAGTGCGGTGACACTGTAGACACCTGAATTCCCCAAGAGGCTTTTATGACTTTGGTTCTGGCCTTCAACAAGTCTGGAAACCTTATGTTGGATAGAAAGCAACCAATCATCTGAAACCCCTTTATGAGAGATGACAACTATCTTCCATCATTTGATGAAAAAGGGATTCACAACATTTCAACTGCTGTGGTGTGCTAGAGATCACATGCATGCCTGTAATGCTAGCAATCTGGGAGGCTGAGGCAGAATGGCACCTTTGAGTTAGCTAGCCTGTGTGACTCTGTACTAATCACAGTCCTCTCCTTTAAAAATAAAAAAAGCTAAACCCATCACCCACTAAATACTGCCTACACCAGATTACAAATTATAAAAGCAGTGTGTCATTTTTAGAAAAAGTAAACCGTGGTTGTTTTCTAATTGACAGTATTCTTTCAGAGGCTGGAGAGATGGCTTAGCAGAGCACTGGCTGCTCTTCCAGAGGTCCTGAGTTCAATTCCCAGCAACCACATGGTGGCTCACAACCATCCTATATATAATGAGATCTGATGCCCTCTTCTGGCCTGCAGGTATACAAGCAGATAACAGCACTCATATACATAAATAACTTTTTTAAAAAGAGAAAAAAGCTGGGGTGGTGGCATATATCTGTAATCCCAACACTCCCCTGAGTGAGATCTGGCAGAGGCAGCCAGATCTCTGTGAGTCCAAGGCCAGCCTGGTCTACAAGTGAACCCAGGATAGCCATGGCTACACAGAGAAAGCCTGTCGGGGAAGGGGGGACAAACTATTCTTTCAACCCCAACACTGCAAAAGGTATGTTTTCTGACACAGATCTTTTACAAACGCACCACGCTACCCACACAAACATTTCAGCATTCATTACTATTTACTGTAGCACCTTTAGAGCAGCAAAGCCGAATCTTAAGTTCTTAGGAACTCAGGCGTTTACCGATGTTAAGGACGACAGAGGCTCTACATAAACTGCCTCTGAAGAAACTATGTACATGTTGTAGGTGTGTCTGGTAAGGGGAAACACTGACAAGGAGTTCATCCAATTACTGTTATTGTCACTGACTTTTGCAGTGAGAATTGTCATTTTACTTTTGAACAAAGATTATTTCAACACATTAAACCAAGTCTAGCTGTAGACCTTATACAGTAGAAAATGATCCATAGTTACACCTCTGTTAAATATGATTGTTGTACTTTAATGATAAATTTAAACATAAATATTGTGTTGCTAACTGGTTTGAAAGACAGGACAAATAATCTACTGGCTTGGTTGTTCAACACCAGATTACAAGCAATTTCCCCGACCCCCAAATATACATCATTGAGAAACAAACGATTTATAGAAGATAAAATGGGGTATATTTTCACATTCAGACAAACAATACTGTCAAAATATGTTTGGACTAGAGATTTTATTTTAGAAGTATAAAGGATGGAGGCGTAATATATTTGGCATTTTTAATTTAGGTTTGTTTTATTTAAGTTTAATGTTAATTC